AGAACTAGTTGAAGCTTCGCGTGGTGCAACGGTTCTCATACATGAGGCAAGTTGTTATAGTGTCATTTTGGTTTCCCCTTTGATTACAAGTATATTTCCCAAATTCCGTTATTTGTTTATTTTTGGCTGTCCCAGATTACTGTTTACCTTCCTAATATTAGTATTTTACCACATACTATACTGTACTCTGGGCTTAACGCTTATCATGAGAATTTTAGTTGCCACATGTTCCCATTTTAGCATTATACAAGAACTCAAACTTTCATTGTACCTACTATCATGCAAAGTCAAACAGCATATTGATTTTCTGTGTTATGTTGTAATATGGATGCGACTCTCTAAGTGTTGAATAGTTACTGGATCACTGAGTATCATTCCATAGATAGCTTGTTTTTCTGAATATTGTTCCTTCTTGAACTGCAATTGTCCTCATAGCTCATGATGTCGTCAGTGCGAGTTGTATGTTAATGCTTTCTACAAACTTAATTTCGCTCCTCTTTTTTCTGCCTCTTTCCTGTTACATGTTTTCTTTTGTTGCTATTTATGGAGTCACCTTCTGATGGCTGACCTCGTCTTAAGTTGGATCTGGTTTCTCCATCTTCTTTTCTTCACTTGCAACTTTCAACTTGAATAAAATTTATAGTTTATTATTTCGGGTGCTTACTGCAGGCTACCTTTGAAGATGGCATGGTGGAGGAGGCCATAGCAAGAAATCATAGCACAACACAGGAAGCCATCGAAGTAGGGGACTCTGCTGGAGCATATCGTATCATCCTCACTCACTTCAGTCAAAGATACCCTAAAATCCCAGTTTTCGATGAAACACACATGCACAAAACATGCATTGCTTTTGATATGATGAGTGTTAACTTAGCAGACCTACCCATGCTTCCAAGAGTTCTTCCATATCTTAAACTGCTATTTTGTGATGAAATGATTGCTGATGAATCTGATGATATCGATGTTTCTACAGCAGCTATTTGAATTATTGAATAACACCCGCCATGGTAATTTATATTGATCTCCTTTGCAAACCACATTTTTGCAAACCTTTTGACTTATGTAAATTTAGGTAGAAAGTTATCATCAAAATGCAAAAAAATAAAATTCAGATGACTGTTGTAAAATTCGAAAGTCACTTTCTCATTTTGCAGATTCAGTATGTTACAGCTGCTTTGACCTCTGACTTCTTCCTTCAATCGTTTCTCTATTGAGTATATAAGCCCAGTTATCCCCCAGAAAGAAAGCATGTGAATCCAGAAACTGTTGAAAACCATACAAACTTAAGAAAAGCAGCAAAACTACAAAACGCAAGTAATAAATCACCCCTGACCTTTATTTTCTGAGAATACTAATCATTCCATTCAAGGAAAATTTCCTAAAAAGGAAAATTAACCAGTTGACTTTAGGTAGAAAGTTATCATCAAAATGCAAAAAGATTTTTTCAGTTGATTGTTGTAAAATTCGAAAGTCACTTTCTCCATTTAACGAGTGATTCAGTATGTTACAGCTGTTTTTGAGCTATGACTTCTTCCTTCAATCGTTTCTCTATATAAGCTGTTCAGAAGAATAAGGAGGGAATTTTTCATCAAAGAAAATCATTGCTCTCAAGAAGTGTTTGGCTGACATACTTGTTTATAGGAATTGTACGTGAAAATAACATGTGCCAACTAGTTTTCGAATAAAAAAATAGCCGGTTTTTGCAAAGTTATTGAAAAATGGTCACTATTTTATGCGGAGATAAAATCTGGACAAAAGTCCCATAGCTTAAACACAGAAAGTTTTAGCATAATATGCTGGTTATGGAGTTATTGCGTATAAACTTATTATGTTGGAACTCCAACACATTATGAAATTCTAATACATTATATTGGAATTTCATATGTAAAAAAATCGAACTTCAACATATTGTATTGGAATTGTTTCGGATTTTTAAGGGTGTTTTTGTTCAAATTTTATCTTTACATAAAAAAGTTGTTAAATTTCGAGTACTTTTAAAACTGTGCCTATTTTTCAATTACCAATTGTAAATCGGGTTATTTCTCATTTTTTTGCAATTAAATAATCCATTGCTCACTTTTTCTTTTTATCACCATGTGTTAATTTAACTCACAAAGTAATATTTCAAATATTGTCATATTGTACTAAGTTTGATTTTGATTTCAAGAGAAACTTTAGAAGAGATAATGATAAACTTATAATTCCAATAAAAGGAAGGTGAATAACTGATGTAACCTTGGTAATTACTAAAATATCGTTTTAATAATAATCATCTACTCCCCCCGTTTCAATTTATATGATTCTGTTTGACTGGGAACAGAGTTTAAGAAAAAATAAATTTTTTTGAACTTGTGGTTTAAAATGAGGCACATTTATTTTGTGTGGTTACAAATCATTGCATAAAGGTAAATTATTTTTAAATATGGTAATGAATCATTCTTTTTGGTACGGACTAAAAAATAAATAGATTCACATGAATTGAAAACTAATTAATCTCTCCGTTCACTTTTACTTGTCCAATATTCTAAAAATAGATAATTTTTTAATAAAAATATATTCTTTTTTTGAATTTCATAAAAAATAAATAGATAAAGCTTTTTAATTATAATTTAATTAATAGCCTGTTTTGTCAAGCCGAAGAAATCAACTTACTTTGAGTAGTGCTTTTTCTAAAAGTTATTTTGAAAAAGGTACTTTGGAGAGAAGCAGTTTGTGTTTGGCTAATCACTCTGAAAATCACTTTTCAGCAATAATTTGTGTTTGGCCAAGTTTTTCAGAAAGTGCTTTTAAGTATCAAATTACGAATAAGGACATTCTATTTAATTAATAATTAGTATTATAAGTAAATAAATAATCTCAAAAATTTGTTATTACAGGCAATAATTTAATCTTTTCATTTTTTTAAGAAAAATATGAAAATAAAATTTAAAAGTACTTAATTATTTTAATATAAGTTAAATATATTAAATATCATTCAACAAATGTAAAAGCCTTCGCTCCTAAAGTCACTATATATTAGAAATCTATTCTAAAAATAATAAGAAATATTTATACATTAATATCATAAGTATTAGGTTTAATGGTTATTTTGGTATATACTATATTTTGTTAAGGGTATTATTGGTAAGAAGAAAAGTCAAAACTGCTTCTGTTTCTGCTGTTACGAAGAAGCTACTTTTTCTGCTTCTCCCAAAAATCACTTTTTTCCCTCAAGAAAGCTTGGCCAAACACTTCAAATTAGGGGGAAAAAAGTGCTTTTGAGAAGAAAAAAAAATCACTTTTGGCCTCTTGTGAAGCTCGGCCAAACATGCTATTAATCAAATTTGAGTCATATTATTGGGGTGTTTAGTGTAGTTAACCATTAAATTATTTAGAAGCATAAATCGATATATTGAATACAATTTTGTAAAACTTGTTTCTTGAACTACCAAATACAGTCGCTAATACAAACACTTCCCCCTCCACTATCAGAGTCCTTAGCTGCCGCCGCCGATGTATTCCGCCATTTTCGACGACGAATAAAGTAATGCCGGCTCGTTTGATTTTTGGCGAAGATAACCTACATTCAACCTGCAATTCCTTCACAGCTTCGTGATACTCTTACAGTTACTCAACCTTGTTAACAACTGTTACAATGGGTAATACCCAAAAGACTCTTCTTTTACTTTAAGTCCTGGTACTGGTACTGCTATTAATGACATTATATTACATACATTCAGGAATATATCGTCAAGGGCGGCTCCATAAAATTGGTGGCCTAAATCCAAATTTTAATAAGAGGCCTTATACTTTTTCTATTAGTATGAATCCACACATATATGCAAAAAAATTAATCTTGCCATTTTTTTCATACTTGTTGTTTATGGAATATCTTCTTAAATGACATAAAGTCTTTAACTTCACATAGTAATATTATTATTTATATTAAAAAAGAAAAATTTCAATAAATGAGATATTAGACATGTATTTACAATATGTTACCTTTGATGTTGTTGTAAAAAATATATTTACAAAGATTTAAGTAATTTAATTCAAAGTTTAAAAAATATTTTTACTGTTTAAGAGTAGACACCTTTCTTTCTTTTTTTACAATTTTTTTGTACTTTTTTATTTTTTCTACAAACATTAATATTGTCTAATTTGAAATAAAATTATGAAATCCATTATTAAAATTTTGGGGGACCTAAATCAAGGTTTTACTAGTCTCCTACTAGAGCCACTTATCCGCCCCGTACATTCTCAATAAAATTTATAGAGTCTCACTTAAAATAAGGCAACTATGACAAGAGCATTAAAGGCAACGAGTTTGTCATTCAGTTATCAAATGTGAATGAAGCTGGTTGAACAGTACGTTTATAATGGGGCAGTAGTCTGTAAATAATTGTTGATTGTCAATGAGGGGCGGCTCAACAGAACTGATGGCCTAAACCAAAATATATTAAAAAGACCCTGAAACGTCTTTTATAAAATTCATATAATATTGAGATACAAAAAAAACCTTCATGACTTTGATATAGTGGTGAGAGCATAAATCATGATGTATGAGTTAGGCGCGCGTCATATGGTATTGAATTCTTCCCTTAAGTGAAAATGGTAAAGGGGGAGCCCATTATTCATCATGTTTTGAACCTTGCGACATTTGCCTCGGAATTTCTTAGTTAAAAAAGATGAGACACAAAAGAACTTGCTTTCTGGTGTGTGGATCAATCAAATGTGACAAAAAGAAATAGTTAATTTAGAGAACTGGAATTGAAATTAAAAAGTAAAATCGTAAAAAGCATAAAAAAGGACTATACATAAAGAAAGAAAAATAAAATTGATGAGAAGGTAGATATATATTACGTCTACCAAATGTTAAAAATCATTAAAATTTGAAATCTTTATTAATAATTATATAAATATAAATGATGAAGTATATATTATATAATAATATAATAATAGTTTTTATTTTTGGGGCCTTAATTATTTGGGAGCCTAAGGCAAGGGCTTCACTTGCCTTACCCTAGAGCCGCCCTTGTATATCGTAGTAGTTCAAAGTAATTCAGCTGGTTAGCGAGCAAATCAAATGGACTCAACAATAGACCCACGGTGTACACATGCACGCGCCATCACAACAGGCGCGGCGAAAGCCAACCGTGCAGTCCTCAACAACCTCATCACTCTCTACTCCAAATCCAATCTCCCTTCACACGCCGTCCGTGTTTTCCAGTCAATCCCATCACCCAATGTCGTTTCATTTACAGCGCTTCTCACATCCGCATTCTCCAATTCCCCACTCTCCGCCTTTCGTCATTTTATTTCCATGATCCGCCGTCAAATCCTCCCCAATGGCCATACTTTAACCTCCCTTCTCAAAACTTGCGCCTCTCTTCCTGCTCTCACCTTCGGGCTACAACTCCATTCCCTTGCTATCAAATTGGGTTTCTCTTCAGAGCCGTTTACGGCGTCAGCTCTTGTGTCGTTGTACTTTAAAACTGGGTTGTCAGGTAATGCGAAAAGGGTGTTCGATGAAATGTCTGTCAGAGATGAGGTTTGTTTCTCGTCCGTTATTGTTGGGCTTGCTCGGAACTCTAAGCCTATGGATGCTTTGTCGTGTTTTGTTGAAATGAGGAGAAGTGGTGTGGCATCTACTATGGTTAGTGTTTCTAGTACTCTGCGGGCAGCATCTGATGTGGCTATGCTTGAGCAATGTAGGATTATTCATGGGCACGCGATGGTAACGGGACTTAATTTGAATGTTATTGTAGGCAGTGCATTGATTGATGGGTATGGGAAATGTGGGCTTTTGGGGAACGCTCGTGGAGTGTTTGATGAGCTAGAAATGGAACTCAATATTGTTGGGTGGAACGCAATGATGGCAGGGCATGCTCAACAAGGTGAACACGGCAATGTCATAGAACTTTTCACTTTGATGGAAGAACGAGGAATGGTGCCGGATGAGTACAGTTTCTTAGCTATCTTGACAGCATTTTACAATGCAGGTTTAGTTGAAGAGACTGAGATATGGTTCAGGAGGATGACGGAAGAGTATAGCTTGGAGCCATGTCTCGAGCACTATACGTGTTTGGTAGGTGCATTGGGGAAAGCAGGGCGTCTGGAGGAGGCAGAGCGGATTGCTTTATCAATGCCTTTTAAGCCGGATGCAGCTTTATGGCGAGTATTATTGTCTAAATGTGCCTATCACGTGAATATGGATATTGCGTGGAGGATGAGTGATAGGTTGTTGCACATTAACCCAATGGATGATTCGGCTTATGTGATTTTGGCAAATGCATATGCGAGTGCAGGGAGGTGGGATGAGGTGAGGGAGGTGTGGAAGAGAATGAAGGATAAGAAAGTGAGGAAGGAAGGTGGGAAGAGTTGGATTGAAACCCATGGAGAGGTTCATGTGTTTTTAGCGGGTGATAGGAGACACGAGAGGGCTGATGAGATTTATGCTAAGTTAGCAGACTTAATGGAAGAGATTGAGAAATTGGGTTATGTGCCCGTATGGGCTGAAATGTTGCATGAAGTAGAAGAGAAGGAAAAGAAGAAAGCACTTTGGTATCACAGTGAGAAGTTGGCATTGGCATTTGGGTTGTTGAATGGGACAACACCACCTGGGAAAGCTTTGCGGATTGTGAAGAATTTGAGAATTTGCAGGGATTGTCACGAGGCATTTAAGTATATTAGTAGACTTATTGAGAGAGAGATTATAGTGCGGGATGTTAACAGATACCACAGGTTCTTGAATGGAAGCTGCAATTGTGGAGATCAATGGTAAGTTATTGAGAAGAAATTTGAGTAACCATCTCTGTTGAGGAGCAACAGCAACAGCCAGAATGCACTTAGTACTCTCATTAATCATCTCTTACATCTCCAGCTTTTAGTAATTGTGATACTGTTTGGATCTTGATTTGGCAGTACTACCAAAAGTAGTATCGGCAAGGGTATGTTGTTTCACTTGTACTCCTTGCTCATTCATTTTGCTCAAGTATATAGCTATTGGCTGTTCCTATGGTCTTAGAAAACAGCCAATAGCAATTTTTTTAAATAAAAAAAAGTAGAAAAGAGAGCATTAGGGGACTAATATGTATTTATTACCCTGGTTTGTTAATTGGTTTAGTATATGACAATGATCCTGGCTTTGGCATCCTACAGTAGCAGAGATCTTCTTGTCTCAAGTTTATACAACTAGAATGAACTCGCAAGCTGATTAATGAGTACTCTTTAGAATTTGCAGATAACAGCAGCGCAGGTTAGTGAAGGGAAATAGTCATTCTAGCGTGACCTATCAGATAATAATGCATATTTAAACAGAAACTAGCCAAGATTTCTTTCATAAACCAAAACAAATAAAAACCAGCATATATTAATCCCAATAGTGCAAAACAAAGGACATTTTGGTTTTCTGTTAGTAATTCCCAACACCTCAATTTCCTATGATGCCTTTTATTTTGATAGGAGTAGGTACTTGCGGCTCACTTGCTGCTTCACTGCCAACCCATCCTCTAGTTGTCATCGTAAGCAAAGTGAAGTACAATTAATGAGTTTAACAAACTAACTTCTTTCTTTGAAGCTCGCCAATAAGCTTCTACTTGTTGAAGCTATGCTTCCCCTATTTCTGAAAAACTTGTTTAGTGTGCAGCGAGGTAGGTGATGCTTTTAGATAGCTTTATTATTGAGATGTCTTTATTGTCCTTTATATAAGAACTTCATTGTTTTCTTCTCTATCTTCATTCTTTAGTGTGCTTTTTGAGGTTTGATTGTGATACTCAAATCAAGCTGAAGATGCTTCTCTTGGTTTATTCTTTCCATGAGTATCTATGTAGTAACTAGCGGTTCAAATGTTAAGCATTTAGACTATAATTGTTCATCTGAAATCATGCTGAAATGCTTCTCCTAGTTTCTGGTATGTAAAAATCACTCACTTATGGTACCTGGGAATTTGCAGGATGGTGGGAATTCTGATGTGGATATTGATTATCTTTTAGAAATTAGATTATAGGCTAACTGAATATGATTCCAGGGAAAAGAGTTGCATTGCTAAAAAATTATTTAGTTTCATCAAGAACCTTCAAAGCTAGCGTTGTTGTATTTGCAACAATATTAGGTGGCAACTTTACTATAGTTCGACAAAATGGCTCATATATGCAGCTTGGGTTAGACAGATCTGGTATTCCTGAAATTACTTCTCGATCAAAAATCATTCAAGAGTTAATATCAGAAATTCATGAAATCTTAGATGCTTGAACACATTGCCAAAAGTTGCATGGCAGCAATGTTACAAATGGAGGCAGTGCAACTATCCAGGCTAACAGAGTTATGATCAAAGAGCCCTGGTTCCATGAAACTGCATTACCTAGTTGTTTGGAAGGTGTAACAAGAGAAGGGAAGTCTTCTGTTAGATTGTGGTGAAGGAACATTGGGACAGCTCAAAAGAAGGTATTGTATAAGTTCATAAACATCAACTTTCTATTTACATATGGTTTTTGTCTAACCTCAGTTGAGGGGCATAATGTTCTTCTTGTTGAACAGATTTGGTATTGAAGGTGCTGATGAAGCCGTAAAAGGTTTAAGGTGTATTTGGATTTCTCATATTCATGCTGATCATCACACTGGTCTTGCAAGAATACTTGCTCTCCGATGCGATTTGCTCAATGGAACTCCTCATGAACCTTTAATTTTTGTGGGCCCACGGCAGCTTAAGAGATTCCTTGATGCATACCAAAAACTTGAGGATCTAGATATGCAGTTCCTCGATTGTAGGCATACTACAGAAGTTTCATTAAAGACTTTTGAGTCAAATGGAGACAAAGATGTGAGTGAGAGTGCACGTGTACCAACTGACCAAAAGAATGGTTCTACCTTATTTGCTAAAGGCAGCCGTATGGAGAGTTGTTTGAAAAGGCCAGGCAGTCTGGTTGATGCAGGGGCTGCATTCCCATCTGAAGGCATTAAAGGAAATTCTCAGAGAAGCGGGATTGGAGGCATTGATTAGCTTTCCTGTTATTCATTGTCCACAAGCATATGGGGCTGTCTTGAAGGCTGCTGATAGGACTAATAGCACTGAGAAGAAGATACCAGGATGGAAAATTGTATACTCTGGCGACACTAGGCCGTGGCCAGAACTAGTTGAAGCTTCGCGTGGTGCAACGGTTCTCATACACGAGGCAAGTTGTTATAGTGTCATTTTGGTTTTCCCTTTGATTACAAGTATTTTTCCCAAATTCCATTATTTGTTTATTTTTGGCTGTCCCAGATTATTGTTTATGTTCCTAATATTAGTATTTTACCACATACAATACTGTACTCTTGGATTAACGCTTATCATGAAAATTTTAGTTGCCACATGTTATCATTTTAGCATTAGACAACATCTCAAACTTTCATTTTACCTACTATTATGCAAATTAAGTCAAGCAACATAATGATTTTCTGTGTTATGTTGTAATATGGATGCGACTTTCAAAATGTGGAATAGTTACCTGTTACTGGATCATTGAGTATTCATTCAATAGATAGTTTGTTTCTCTGAATATTTTTCCTTCTTAAATTGCAATTGTCCTCATAGCTCATGATGTCGTCAGTGCGAGTTTTATGTTATGCTTTCTACAAACTTAATTTCGCTTGTCTTTTTTTCTGCCTCTTACATGTTTTTTTCTGTTGGAGTCACCTTCTGATGGCTGACCTCGTCTTAAGTTGGATCTGGTTTCTCCATCTTCTTTTCTTCACTTGCAACTTTCAACTCGAAGAAAATTTATAGTTTATCTCGGGTGTTTACTGCACGCTACCTTTGAAGATGGGATGGTGGAGGAAGCCATAGCAAGAAATCATAGCACAACACAGGAAGCCATTGAAGTAGGGGACTCTGCTGGAGCATATCGTATCATCCTCACTCACTTCAGTCAAAGATACCCTAAAATTCCAGTTTTGGATGAAACACACATGCACAAGACATGCTTTGCTTTTGATATGATGAGTGTTAACTTAGCAGACATACCCATGCTTCTAAGAGTTCTTCCATATCTTAAACTGCTATTTCGTGATGAAATGATAACTGATGATATCTATGTTGCTACAGCAGCTATTTGAATTATTGAATAACGTTCACCATGTAATTTAGTCTTTTTAATCATTTAATGCATCAAAGTGTATCTTTGATTGTTAGTACTGTACAATTTATATTGATCTCCCTTGGAGCTCATCATAGTCAACCAACATTTGTTCTGCTTCTCTTAATTATATAATGACTGCTGAAGAAGAAACTTATGCAATGGTTCTAAAAAGAAAAAGCCAAAAGCAATGGATTTCACAGGAAAATGGATTATCCAGGGAGAGGAAAAGGAAAAAACTACAAGCTCTGTTGAATTTGGTTGTATTAAAATGTTTATGATCTTGTATTAATTCTGCGGAAGCCCCTCTTTTTCCCACATTTTTGCAAACCTTTTGACTTGTGTAAATTTAGGTAGGAAGTTATCATCAAAATGCAAAAGATTTTTTCAGATGACTGATGTAAAAGTCAAAAGTCACTTTCTCCATATGTTACAGCTGTATAAGCTGTGGCTCGAGCTTGGACTTCTTCCTAAAATCGTTTCACTGTATAAGCTGTTCAGAAGAATAAGGAGAAGGAATCTGTCATAAAAGAAAATCATACTCTCAAGAAGAAGTGTTCCGACATACTTGTTATATAGGAATTGTACGTGAAAATAGCATGGCCAGCCAGTGTTATCGAAAAATAGCTAATATTTGCAAAGTCATTGAAAACTAATCATTATTTAATGTGGAGATAAAATCTGATAAAAAGTACCATAGCTGAAACACGGAAAGTTCTAGCATAATATGCTGGATTATGGAGCTATTGCGTATAAATTTTCAACATATTATGTTGGAATCTCATGTGTAAAAATTCGAACTCAAACATATTATGCTGAATTTTTGTCGAATTTTTTAAGGGCGTTTTTGTTCAAATGTTATCTTTACATGAAAAAGTAGCAAAATTTTGATTACTTTTGAAACAGTGGTTATTTTTTAAACCAGTTGTAAATCAAGCTATTACTTATTTTTCCCCATCAAACTTGATCTTTTTATCACCATGTGTTCATTAAAATTCCAAAGTAATATTTCAAATATTGTCATATTGTACTAAGTTTGATTTTGATTTCAAGAGAAACTTTAGAAGAGATTATGATTAACTTATGATTTTATTAAAAGGAAGGTGTATGTAGGAGACCCTTGGTAATTACTTAAATATTGTTTTAATAATAATCTATATCTATATCTATACTATATTAAAAGCACGAAGGCCTTTAGCGAAATGTTGTTCGCCTTTTTTACCCTTTAAAAATAAATTTTACATTAGACAACATCGTAATTTAGTTATTTTTCTAATATTTAGAACTTTAAAACTAACTAAAATTTTAAATATTAAGTCTTTCCTTATTTGAATTATGTTAGAGGTCCTAATATTAAGGACTTTAAAGTAGATATTATTGGGAAAAATAGAATCATTACATTTCTTTTCCTTATATATCATCACGGCAACTTCCATGGAAATATGTTCATATTCATTCTTCTTATTAGGCAACTTATAATTCTAACTAGATGTTTCCATATATTAAGAGATTTTGTACCTAATTAAATATTTATTCTAATTATTAATTGTGTGTAAATATTACACAAATTGATAAGAGAATAATATATGGTTTGAGTAGGAGAAAACTTTGAAATAATTTGCATCTTTTTGGAACTTATATTTTTTTAGCGTGTTTTCCATCTTAATGAGTAATTTTTTGTAAGAAACTTACATGTCTTTTAAAAAATTGTGTCTGAGTAATAAAAATAAATTGTGTCTGAAATTGTTGAATATTGATCCTATATAGCTAATTCAATAATATAGCTAATCCAATAATAGAATAAAGTTTGTTCACGAAAGTCCTCAGTCATTATTCAATATATACATCTTAAATTATGTTCCAATCTATAATTTTATCAGTTCAATTTCACAAGTTATCATACTTTCTTTTTATTTTCAGTAAAAACACATAGCCCTGGAAGATTTTAAAAAAATTGATTTTTTTCAAAAACTATTCTCAAATTCATTTGAGAAGACATAAACAAGGTATAGACTAAATATATTTTGATTTAATATACAACTACATTTTATTCAATTATTAAAAGACACTGCTCTATTGAATAGACTGTGTTAATATTCATCATTTATAGGAACTTATATTTTTTTCTTTGATAAAGTTAAATAACTCAAACACATTATTTAATACTCCCTCCGGTCCAAAATAAGTGATTTTTTGGATGTTTTCACACAAATTAAGAAATCCACCTTTTAGCATTAATTAGCAATAGAATTGACCATATTAACCTTTACTATCTCACATAAACACTCCTAACACGTATTCCAACACCATTTACTTCAAGGACAATGTAGGAAAAAAATAATTAATTCATTCTTGAAATATGGAAAAATCACTTATTTTGGACCACAAGAAAAAGGCCAAAAAATTACTTATTTTGGACCGGAGGGAGTAATATTTATATAATTTTAAAAATTATATTCTTATTGATATAGGTACACGCGCAAAGCGCGTACCCTAAAACTAGTCATATCTAAAAGAAAACTAGTACTCCCTCCGTTCCAATTTATGTGAACTTGTTTGACTGGGCATGGAGTTTAAGAAAAAATGAAGACTTTTGGAATTTGTGGTCCTAAACAAGTCAAAAGGGGGTCCAGAGTATTTGTGTGGTTATACAAACTTCTCATTAAGGGTAGAATTGTAAGTTTAAGCTAAATTGTTACCAAATATAGAAAGGAGTCATTCTTTTTGGAACGGACAAAAAAGAAAATAGATTCACATAAATTGGAACGGGGAATACTATATTACAAATTAGTATTTTGTTAAAGGCTTAAAAGTACAGCACAAGAAGGTTTCTTGCCTGATAACCAGTACCTGCATTCAAGAAAAACCCCAGTTATCCCCCAGAAAGAAAGCATGTGAATCCAGAAACTGTTGTTAACCATACAAACTTAAGAAAAGCAGCAAAACTACAAAACACAAGGAATAAATCACCCCTGACCTTTATTTTCTGAGAATACTAATCATTCCATTCAAGGAAAATTTCCTAAAAAGGAAAATTAACCAGTTGACTTTAGGTAGAAAGTTATCATCAAAATGCAAAAAGATTTTTTCAGTTGACTGTTGTAAAATTCGAAAGTCACTTTCTCCATTTAGCGGGTGATTCAGTATGTTACAGCTGCTTCTGAGCTCTAACTTCTTCCTTCAATCGTTTCTCTATATAAGCTGTTCAGAAGAATAAGGAGGGAATCTTTCATCAAAGAAAATCATTGCTCTCAAGAAGTGTTTGGCTGACATACTTGTTTTATAGGAATTGTACGTGAAAATAACATGTGCCAACCAGTTTTCGAATCGAAAAATAGCCGGTATTTGCAAAGTCATTGAAGAATAGTCACTATTTTATGCGGAGATAAAATCTGGACAAAAGTACCATAGCTTAAACACGAAAAGTATTAGCATAATATGTTGGTTATGGAGTTACTGCATATAAACTTATTATGTTGGAACTCCAACACATTATGAAATTCTAATACATTAT